CAGAGAGCGGGAGGGCTGACCGCACACTAAGGAGGAGGGAATGGGAAGAAGAGACAGAGACTGGTCAGATCAGCCACATGAAAAGAGCCACTGAAAGAAATTCACATATCAGCCACTGTAGATTATGCCACCATGAGACCCTACCCTACATCACAATGCCATGGAAGCCCGGGAGAGTTCCACACAGGTGTTACCTTTGACCTAAGTCTTTCTGGTTGGCTTATGTGTGGTCTGGCCCTTCTGTAGCCAGTGCCATCTATGGACCAGACCACTTCATGCATGGGCCGTCACCATCCTGCATCATTTCCAGTCAAGGACACTTTGGCCTGGATGATCTCATATTCCAGAATTGGCTCATGCAGGGGATACTTAGAAAAACCATAGATCATGGGCTTTGGGAGATGGAAGGAAACTAAAAGACTATCTAACATGTCACAGCAAACACTGGACTGGGCGGGGAGATACCTGGGACCTTGATCTGGCTTTTCTCTCCTAGGTCCCATATGACTCTGGGTAAGTAAATTTGGACTTAAATTTTTGATCTGCTAAATGAGACAGTTGGTCAGTATGATCTCTGTGGATCTTTCAAATTCCAAATTCCCTCAATTTTTATTTCATTTCCCCTGGCCACCTCCATTTTATGGTGAGTAAAACTTTCCATAGGTTAAATAATTAGCCCAAGGTCACGTGGTTATGAAGTTAACAGGGGCATTAGAAGAGGGCTTAACTAGATTCTAAGATCAATGTCTTATCCTGTATCTCACAGTTCCTCATTACATATACAAATCATGGTCATGGACTCTGTAACTTTTTCTTCTTTGGCCTAAAGGACTCATGCTGTGAGTGCATGCCCAGGCCATCCAGGTTTAGGAAAAGGTGGCATGATCTACAAGCAATGATGCAAAGGCCCAGCTCTGAGGCACCCATCATTGCACCCAGGAACCCTGTAGTACCTTCAGGGGAAGAAGAAAGGTCTGATCAAGCTTCATTCCACTGAGTTGCACCCCGAGCATGCACATGCATCACCAGCCTCCTGCAGCCAAATGCCTTTGGCCCATGAGCAGGGGGTCTTCAGTACCACTCCTCTGCTGGCTAAGAACAAGCTTACATGAGCCTTCCCAGCAAGGTTCTTAGGCCTAGGAGGTAAGCGTGGTGTGAGTGTGGGCTTCCTTTTGGTTGCAAGTGGCCAGGCTATAATCTTTGGTCCCGGACACTTTCAGTGATCCTTTAAAGACTAAGGAACATTTGACTTTTCTTGGCAACTTTGAGAGGTCAGGCTTTCAGCAACCTAATGCTTTTCAGATGCTCTTCTTCCTGATGCCAAAGGCTTCTTACATGATTCTTAAGCACTCTGTCATTCACACCAGGCCAGATGTGAGCTGGCCTTTGCTAACTTTTTGGGGCCTGGTCTTTCAGAGTTGAAGGCCAGACTCTCAGCTACAAGCCACAGACTATGGAGTGACATCTCAAAGTGATCTGTGACTGGCCCTGCACAATAGTTCATTTAGTGCTGAAAGGCCCTCATCTGGTTAAAGCCGGGCCTGTGGCTGAGTCCATGCTTACAACAAAGCCAGCGCTGAGAGGTGTTTTTCTCCACTGTCAGAGCTGGGGAAGCTTGGAGAACCACTAATTTACAGATGCAGAAATCGAGGTTCAGAGAAGGCAAGTGACATACTCAAAGACATTAGTGACAGAGCCAGAAGTAGAGCCCATTTCTTCTAGCTCTTGCTGCATTTTCTCCACTAAAGTCTGTTTTTCTTCTTGATATGCTTTTGTCCTTTCAAGAGGTTGAATGATGCAACAGGCCTTGAGAGAGCTCATCGAAATGAGGCCATTCTTTTTTGGCTGCTACCATTCTCCATCCAGTCTTTCCTGGAACAAAGGAATCTTCTTGAAAGAAGCCAGATTTGGCCTCTTGAGCACTGGAGGTACTAAGAAGGGCCCTTAAAACAAAATGTGATATTCTAGAATTCTGGGTCCATGAGGATGGCATGAAACATAATCAGAGTCAGGAATGGCTTAGCTTGTGTTGATTAAAAAAAAAAAAAAAGTCTTGGCTTCAGCTTCCAGCTCTGCCCCTAACTTTGTGGATAATCTTTGACAAATCATTACACCTCACTGAGCCTCTGTTTTTCTCACATGTAAAATGAAGGGCAAATATGGCTAATAAGGTTCCTTGGAAGGTGTATATTATGATGCTAGATAAAATCGCTTTCTCCATTCCAGCTTGCTTCTGTGTTCAATTTTGGTGTTTTAGGAGGAAAGAATTTAGAAATCTCTGGCATGGTCCAATGGTAAACCATGGTTCTTTCCAATACCAGGTATTAAAAGAATTTCATGACTCCCTGTATCTAAGATGCTTTGTATAAATATAGAGGGTAATGACCACCATGGGTCATAGAACGTTATGGATCACCTGGTCCTGCTCTGTCACTTCTGAGGTATGGGATCCTAGCCTCAGAGAGGTGAGATTACTTGCTAAAGATCACAGTAAGAAAATGGACTAGGACCCAAGCCCCTGACTCCCAGCTCAATACCTCTTCCCCTTCCAGAGGTTGTAGCATGGCTGCCTAGGATGGAATCCAGCTGAAATGCTGTTTCCTTTGGCCCACATGGTACCTAACTCTTCTTATCTTAACTCCCTAAGTGGGAGTTAGGTTTTTCAGTTCACCGCATTCCATCTTCTCTGAGGGTTCACCAACTATGCTCTAGGGTGTGCTCTGGGCTAAGAGTAAATGAGATGATGGGGATCAGCAGAGTTTGAGTGGGCTGACCTTTCTTCTGCTCCACCTCCTTCAAGTTCTTTATTAGGCTTCATAAAGCCCTCCCAAGTGAAGTCTTCCTAACCAGTCCTCACCCCTCCATTCCCAGATTATCACACACAGTAAATGCCTCCTTCTCTAGGATCTCATAGCAATTGTGATGGCCAACATGGAATGCTAACATTTTCTTTGGTTCTTAAGGGTAATGGTAGACAACACCACAGTCTTTCCATTTTGACATCTAAATCTAACCTCTAGAAGCTTACTGAGGGGATATTGAGGGTTACTAAAATGTACCATTCAAATAATACACTATCTTAGTTTACCCAACACTCTAATTCAGTAAAATACAAATGCCACCCAACATAGAACTACACTGCAGAGCTCCTGCTGTTCTGCTGAATGTGCAGACAGGACCTACATCACTCCTCAGTGCTGTCCTAAATGGTTATATCTTTCAGTGAATTCTGTTTGATTAATTAAATCAATTCCACTATTCTTGCTTTTATTAAAAGTGTAAATTACTATGCCATGACTCTTAAATTTTTTGGTGTGGATTATTTGTTTCATCCTACAGTGTGCATTTGAGGCTATAATTTTCTAGTTAAGTTGATTTGAATGTAAGTGTGTACTATGATTGCAATACAAATCACCCATGCTTTTAATGCTAAAGCAAATATCCACAAAATGTCTCCCAAATCTCTACTCACAGTGACACTTTCTATTCACAGAATTCTTTTTTCATTTTAAAGTAGGGTCAGTAGGTGAACCATGGGGTTGTAGCAGTCAGTAAGACTTGAACACGTTGCTCTTTGGAAGAACTTCTTACTCTGTCCTATAGTTATTTGTTGTCTTAAGTTGCTCATCTCCCCTACAGCACAGTGAGTGTTTGAGGACGAGGTGCCCACTTTCCTGATTTCCCTGGTGCACAGCAGGTGTACACACAAACTGTTGGAGGGAAAACCTGGTGGGAAGGGAGCAGAACTGCAGAGACAGGAGACAGGAAGGCTCTTGATGTGATAGCACAGGCTGAGTGTAGAGGCTGGTTGGTTTGCAAAGGCTAGAGGCTGGGCTTCTCTATTTTTGGCTCTCTGAGGTATCTCTTAACAAAGAACCAAAGCATCATGCTCCCCATCCCCACCCCATCAACAGCCAGAGAACCTTGGGTGGGAGACTAGGAGGCAGAGGACTGGAGGGTCAGGTACCTGGCAGGCAGGTGGGCTGGCTTCTCCCCAGTACTTCATTCATCCAGACTCCTTGGGCAGAACAGGTATATATGCCTGGGAGAGTGAAAAAAGGTGGGAGAAGAGGGAGAAAAGTGTTGATTTGTAGCACATGGAATATAGATCTGGGTTCTTAATTCTTCTATGGACTGCTGCAAGACTTCCACATCGTCTCTCTGATGCCATTCTCTTTAAGCCAGTTCTCCCTGCAACCTGAAGAATCTTTCCAAAATGGGAATCTATGCTTCCCTTCTGCTCAGAATCATCAGTGGCTCCCCATTGCCCTCAAAAACAAACAGCATGCTCTTCAGCATGGTGCCTGCAGGTCTGCATAATTGGACTCCTGCCTACCTGGGGGCTGCTTCCTCCCCTGGGCCGGCCCAGCCCCTGGCAGGCACTTCCTCCCTCTCAGGCACCAGGCTCCCACAGTTCTCTGTGGCACACTTACCTTCCTTCCTTTCCCCACTTCATAAACTCTTTAATAAACCATGCTTATGTCCACTATCTCATCTGAGTCTTATATTAGCCCTGTGAATTATATTGCTGTTGCTCTTGTGAAAAGCAAGGACTTGGAAACTTAGAGAAATTGGAAGAATTTTCTTAGGAGCAGTCTGTGGCAGACGCAGAACTGATGGGCCTTACCATCTCCCTGAGGGCTCCTTCTCTGCCAGGGGCTCTGGGTGTACATGTGAAGGTGCTGGGATGCCATGTGGCTTAATCCCTGGGATGGCAGCCTGAGGCAGGGGGAGGTGAGGTATGGCCCCAAATGTTTCTCCTCCCAGTTTCTCTCAAACTTCAGCCAGTGGCCTGACTGCTGCAGCCCCCAGTCCAACCCTGAGACCCAAATGGTGTGAGGTGGGAGAGGGCTCACCTGTGATATTGTGGAGCATCTTATAGTAGGGCTGCTGGCAGGAGTATTGGATCTCAGATTTATATGTGGTAAGGTTGTTGCTGGTGGAGAAGGTGATCAGCCCATGTTTCAGCTCTGCTGGGGCTCCACAGTCCGCAACTGAGAGAAGAGAGTTAACACCTCTCAATTAACCTTTGGTCTTCTTCTTGGGGCCATATGGTAGGTCTGTCTCATACAGATGTGCAGGTTGTGTATTGTGCACAACTGCAGAGAGCAATGCTATAGTTCATGAGAGTGGTACCCTAGAGATTGTGTAGGGCCTGTGTAGCCATGGGTGGCACTGCTTTGGGGGTCTCTTCCATCTACTGTGGCACTACCGTGTGGCCAACTAACTGGACCTGGTATCGATTCCAGGGCAGGGGCAGGGTTACTGAGATTGAAGCAGACCCTGGTCTTTTCCCCACGTAGCCCTCTTCTTGACTTCCAGTTCTATTGTGCAACCCTGTTAGTCTCTCCTGCTTAAGCATGAATCTCTAGCTCAGCAAAAAAACTCTGGCTGACACAAACTGAAGAATCTTCAGTCCTTCCTGACTCAATCACATGCTGAGTAAGAGCAGTTAATGTGCTCACATTAGTGCTTCACATAAAAAACACAAAAGCAAACAAATAGAAAGCAGCTCCTGCATGAGTACACGACCCCATCCTTCTGTCTCTCTCTGTAAGCATCTTGCTTGATCACAGAAGGTGGGAGGTGGGGTCTGGGGTAGACTAAGTTTTAATCATTCATCTGCTTATGTTCTCCAATTGTTGGGGCCTGGATGTTGGGCTTGGCTATAGGATGGCTGCTCCTCAGAGGTGATCTCAGGGCCGTTGCCAGCACAGAGTCCAGCATGAGTCTGTCAGAAGCCAAGTCACAGGCTGAGGACCCAATTTGTTTGGGTCTCTTCAGGGGCTTCCTTCAGGGGGGTGGTGCTCATTTCTAAGGAAATCTTCATCTTAGGTCTAACAGCCTATGCCAGAGTTGAAGAATCATACAAAAATCATAGAACTTTGTGGCTGACAAGGAACCCGAAGGCAGACAATCTAGAGTATCTACTTTACAAACTGAGCCCATAGAGGAGACCTGACTGGCCTAAGGTCACACAGCGAGTTATAATCAGAAAAGTAGACCCGACTTTAAACTCAGTGTTCTTTTAAGAAAACCATCTGACAGTTCTTACGGATCTGCTTTCTAATTAAAATGGTTTAAAATCAATATTAACCAGGTAATGATGGACATTAGCTATTAATCTTCTGATAATTTCAGAGGACAACATTCCAAAACCAAGAATTTCCAGTTTCCCCTCACCTTGGGAAACAGAGAGAGGGCAATTTACCCCTGAGATGCTACCCTGAACTTGTAGCTTTTGAGTTTAGAACTCTAAATTCATCATTTTGATTGAATAAAGAGTTATCTAATATAAAGCATGGATGACACCAAGGCCCTCCATTGTGGAGGAGAGGGATGAAGGCTGAGAGTAAAAGCAGGTGCCTTCTAGCCACAAGGAAGGCAAAAACCAAGAGGACTGGATAATGTTTTGTCTTGTCCTCTAATCCCCTTAGAGAAATTGTTCCCATTCGTTTTGATGACCCAAAAGTAGAAACATGCATCCACTCTGTGAGTGAGGGTCAGCACTAGGATCACAAGAGGCAAAAATGTCTATTATTTAAAGTCACAAAATAGTTTTAAATGTATTTTCCTGCTGAGTCTCAAAGCAGAATTTTCTTCCTTTTCCCAGAAATGGCATTGACTGATGCCTGAATCTTGACTTTGGTCTAGCAGTTCATTTTGCCTAAAGTAGTCTCTGGACCTAATACCTAGTTCCAAGGGGAGGAATGGCAGGGTTGGCCTTGGACATGGCTAGACGGTCAGGCTGTTGAAAGCCTGTTACTTGGCCAGCAATAGTAGGGAGCTATTTCCTGAGTAGAGGGCCTGCTTTCATATCACTCCAGAGAAGTAGCTTTGCTGGCCCTACAGCCAAATAGAGGTGATAAGTAGTATAAAATAGAGGGTTGCTTCAGCTTGGGTATGGTAAGTGGGGTGGTATGCTTCTACTCCCAAGTCTACAGTGGCAGATGAAGGGCCATGTGTCTCTGGGACCTGGAGATGACTTCCTTTTCTGAGGAGCCTGGAGCTCTGTTCGTTCTGCTACACCCAGAACCTGCTTCCTCAGCTGGTCTAGCTTCTTCGCTTTAGGAAGGGTCTCATCCTTTCTCTAATGCTCTCTCTGGCTACTTCCACACCCTGAAACCAAAATGCCCTTCCTTTTTCCATTCCATTGGCCTCACTTTCTCATCATCCTCTGGGATGGGACGCACCACCCCACCCTCTGTCTCTGCTGTCACCTCTGGCTGCCATGTATTTTCCTTCAGATATGTCTTTCTTGACTTGCTGACCTGAGTGTGCTTTGCCACAATCTGGGGCTTCCTGGAGAACTATGCACCACGGACTCCCCCTGGCACTCAGGCCTCAGGGGTGGCTCCTACCCCAGCATCCCTTCATCTCTGCCCTCCATGCACCTATGCTCCAGCATCACAGACGCTGCTCCCTTGCCAGCTTTCCCCACACAGGAACCACTGTGGTCCATGCTCTGGCCACCCTCGAGGCCTTGATCAAATACTGCTTCTTCTTGAAAGTCTTTTCTCAGTATTCTAATTGGACAGGGCACCTCCTCCTTTCTCCTTACAGAGGCCTCTATTCATCTCTCTGGTGCATTTGTCTTCTGTTGCTCCGTATTGCCATTATTGGGGTCCATATCGAATCTTCTGCCTAAATTAGGATTCCTTTCATCTCACTGAGTACAATATCTGTTACACTTTGTGGGCTCAGGCATATTGATTGAACCGGTGCTCATCTTTACTGCCCACCTCATCTATGCTCTCGGAGGCACCCCTGCCCTAGGCTGGCACCACAATCTATGCACCTGCCACTGTCCACCCTTGCAGGAATCTGCCTCATTAAAGCCCATTTAATCACCACATGGACTGAGTAGACACAGTGTAATGCAGGGATTCTCTGATACTAATTCAGGGATTCTCTGATACATCGATTCTGGTTTTGTTCAAGCCGAAGCAGAGGTTCCTGTTGCCACTACAGAGCCCTTTATCGCATTACCCACTGATGTCCCATGGCACCAAAGCAGAAGACTGCTGCTTTCATGTGTGATATCTATCTTTCAAAATCTTTAATCAGGGAATTTTCAGAAATGCAAAATTTATAAGTCCCAGCCCAGAGGAAAGAACCTCTGATAGTGGATTTTCAGCCCCGAGTTAGGTATAGGTGGAATAGAAACTTTTGTGGTTGAGGATATGCCTATATTTCCTAAAAACCCATGCTCTCGGAGTTATCGTTAGTTTCACCTACTCATGGTTATTAGAAAGTAACAACAGATAAAAATATTACAGTCATAAAGTCACAGGCCTTCTGGCCCATTTTATCTTGAAGTGTGGAGTGGATTAGGAACCAGAGGCCACTTTGACCTTGTCAGCCTGGGGCCATGTGGTTTTATATGATATCTTGGGTCTCTAGGACCAAAGTGATTTTTTTCTTCGAGAAGAGTACCAGTCTACTTGGAGTTGCTAAAAAAAAAAAAAAAAAAAAAAAAAAGAATGCCTCTTGTCTTTACATTATTTTCCAGAGTACTGTTTGAATGATGGATGAGCCCTCCAGTGGAGAAATGTTCTCTTTTACGCAGCAGTTTCAACTGCTCGACACTGTGTTGCTTTGTTCAGCATCCACACTAATCCGCAAAGAAATTGGAAATGGAGCGTTGGCGGGGTGGGGAGGGGTGCAGTAGCTCTGGGGCCCCAGGGTCTTGTGAGTGGTCCATTCCTAGACGTCTGCACTTTTGTGGGGTCCCGTCATTCATTCTGTCTCTTGCTCTGACCCGGGTTCGTTCTCCTCATCCATTTCAGTTTCTGCCACCAGGGTGAAGATCAAAGAAGGGTCAGGAGGTGCAGAGAAAGGAAGCAGAGAGAGGAAGGGAGAGAGAAAAAGAAGAGAAAGAGAAAAATTAGCAAGCAAAGCAGAAACAGTTTAGGCAGGAAATACAGAAATCGCTCCACCAGATTGATTAAGAATGCGGTGTAGGTACAGCTGGTGTGGATGACAGTTGGGGATGGTGGAATTTGTACCATTCTGAGAATCTGCACAGTCATAAATCCTGGCTCACGAGGATTACAGCACTCTGCCCCTGGAGCAAGCTTTGTATTCATCTGGTCCAAACCTTCGTTTGACATACAGCATTTAGGGTGGAGCAGTACTTGTCTCGGGTCACCATGGCAAGGTGGAGGCGGTACAACAATGCATAATTTCCACTTCCTGTTCCAATACAAGTTTCTTCACTACACGTGTACACTTCCTGTCTGTTCCTAACCTCTTTTCTCACAATCCCTAGGGACTTGAATTTCTCAGTCTTGCTCATCTTTGCACATCCTGAGGACCCAGCACATGCCTGGGGCAGAGAGATGCTTAGTTAAAAACCTGCTCAGTGAATGAGCAGAGACACCAGGAATGTCTGAATGAGGATCCTAATAATTCAAATCTGGGCTATCCTGGGAGAACCAGGTCATATTCAGGAGGGAAACAAAACAAAACAGAACAAAAAAATTCCTCTTTTCTTTAGTACAAAATGGCAGGCGTTCTTTTGTATACTAACAAAAGTCACATAAAATGCTACCATCAAATACAGCTGTGCGTGACACTTATCAGCGCTTCTGTTACAATAAAAAGTGTGCATGCTTTATTAGGGAAAATATTACTATTAAAATTTTCTACCTTCCAAAAGCATGAACGAGAGAAACGAAACCTCTGCCTAGTGAGGAGGTTTGGTGTAGGTGGGGGGGGAGGGAAGAAATAAGCTTTTATTAGACTCTCACTTATTCCTGGTGGCCCACAGGTATAATTCAGTTAATTGATCCTTAGAAGAATCAGGAATGCAGGAAGCTGAGGCCAAAAATCTGAGTAAATTGCTTACAGACATTTGACTGGATGAGTCTGGATTTGATCTAGAACTTCCTGCTATTAAATATCCTGTCCTCTCTACACCAAATTCTCTTTTCCTTCCTCCTGCAGAATGTCCCCTTGCTTTGTCCCACACAGTGCTTCCCACAGAACTCAGTGACAGCACTACTGAGTCGGAGAAGGTGGTGGCTGCGTTTACTGACACTTGAATTCCTCAATTTCTCAACCTGTGTTTTCTATCTAAACTCCCTAGAGGCATCCAGTCAATGTTTGTTGAAACCAGTACTTGCCCCCTCTCTTCCCACAATGGGTTCTGGCTCCAGCCACATCATTATATTAAAAAAGAAAAATTAAAAAGCAAGAATATTCTCTAAAATTCTGTCTGGGATTTGCCATAAGAGAGTTCACCCTGAAAGTGTTCTCCTGGGACTGAGGGAGTGGATCTGCCTGCCTAAAGAATCTGAACCATTTAGAAGAAGGGATGAGGACACCACTTCACAGTTTACACGCAGTCATGAAATGAGGATGGACGGGATCAACCCTAGTGCTTGACTTCTTACCTCTCCATCCTAAAGCCAACCCTCCCCTTGCTCCTTCTCTTCTTTCTCTTCTCATCATCATCACACTTTCCTTCCTCACTGCTACCATTATGAGTTTCCTAAAAATGCGGTCTTTACAAGTCTTGACCTAGAACTACCTGGATAGGGGGACAGGGTGGTGACTGGTAGTCTATATTTTTACAGTGTTCACTAAGTGATTTATATGGATTACATTATTTGGAAAACACCCCAATATATTCTAGAGTATTAAAGCTAGTTCAACTTTTTATTTTAAATTTAAGGTGAAGGATCTTATCCATGGTCGCAGGGTGGATTAGGAGCAGAGCCAATGTAAGAACTCTGCGCTGACCTCACAGCCTTTCCTGACAGGTCCTAAATCATGACCTGTTCCAGAAACCTTAGTGGGTATGGCTGATGACCACATAGAGACTGGCAAGGTCATTGAGCTCTGGGCGCTGGTGCTGAAATAGTTTCCTGAATTAGCAATTGCCAGAGCTAGTTTCAAACCTGGGGACAAACTACTCCTTTAGCAAATTTGGCAACCTGTCTATAGGCAGAGGTAAAATTAGTATTTAGGAAGTAAACTGGAACCGACAAGAAGTTTCTCTTGGAATTCTAATGTCTTAATGCCAAAAGAAAAATTAATAGCCTTTTGGTCCAGCCCTCCTGTGCTTGCTGCATTCCTGCCCCCACCCCTCTTTGAGCCCATCTGTCAGGTTTTCACCCTTGTATGGTCTCTGGTTGGAACCAACCAGTGCTGGGGAGCTCACTATCCTTGTCACAGACCAATATGGCTTTCTTACTTTTACAAGTGGGAATCCTGTTACTCCATGTCCCATCCTTCAGACACTCGATCTGGAATGTATCCATCTCCACATTATCCTAGGAAGAAACATGAAGAAGATGCAGCAAGAAGGAGGAGGGGTAGGGTCGGTGGTTGTTTCCCACTACAATCAGCTCAAATTCCAAACCCGGTTGTCCTTGACTGAGATTTTCCAACCATGGGCCTCCAAGGGCAAGCTTGATGATAAGGAAAAGAGAGATGCTGAATTCATAGTCCCTATTCCTACTCTGGAGAGGGGCAAGGACTATGTGGAAGAAAGGGCTTGGACAACGTCTGGGAGGGGAAAGAAATTCCCTGACTCCCTTTCCAGAGCAGTGGCTCTCAAACATAAGTAAGCACTAGTATCCTTGAGGATTTGCACAGACTGCTGGGCCTCACCCCCAGAGCTTCTGATTCAGTGGGTCTGGCCTGGAGAACAGTTTGAATTTCTAATAAGTGATGAGATGCTCTGGAGACCCCACATGAAAACCCATTCCTTAAGAGTGTTCCTCCAGCTTGGCTCACATCAGACTCAACTGGGTAACATAACAGAAAAACCAATCACCCATCCTGCCCCAGAGATTCTGTTTTAATTCATCTTAGGTGAGGCCTGGCAAGTAATTTTGTATCTTTAAAAAACTATCCAGGTGATTCCTAGAAGAGTGAGCAGCGTCTGTCTGCCACCTCTAAAATCTCTGCTTCCTGTCCCAGTTTCCCCCAGTAAGCCTGATCCATGAACTTTATTAAGGTTGTGTGTCCTGATAGTAGGGTTGAATGAGTCTTAATTTGTGTTTGAAATTCAAATCAGCCCGAGCTCTGAAAGAAGACTTCTGTGCCATTTCCAGAAGTGAAAATCTGGGATGCATGCTTTGGATTTTCAGAGGACTGGAATTTCTGAAGCATGTTGGAGATTTATGGGAAAGTTAGCAAATACTGTGGTGGGATCATGCAAGCTCTGGAAGCCCATCTGCCTTGGGTGGGGGGGCACTGGACCATTTCTCTGACCTGGTGGCTCTTCTTCGCCCCGCAGGACCCTGTACCTTCAGAACTTTGTAGCCTGTGTCACAGCTGATGAGCACCTGGTCTTTGAAGGAATACGTGGCTTGCAGGGGCTCGATTTTCCCGTGGACAGGAAGCTCTGGATCTGGACAGTCATTCCCTGGTGGGAGCAATGAAAGATTGGTGGGTGAGAAAACAAGGAAAAGTCTGCAGCAGGCAGTCAGCCCCCATGGTCCAAGCAATGGTGCAGGAGAAACCCACAAAATGAGTTGTTGGGGGCCTCGTACCTACTAGGCCCTGATAACTTATTCTGGAACCTTGAGCAGGTCACTTTTCAACTTAGACCTCTAGTTCCTCAACTGTAAAATGAGGTGGTTGGCCAAATGATTTCATCACAACTCAGGGTTTAATATCCACGGCAGGATATTAAATGCCATTGAGTGTAACCCTTATCTGAGGCTGCGGTTACAACATGTTCAATAGTAGTCATCAGACATCTATTTGCATTCCTACAGTGACAGAGAGCTTAATACCTCTCAAACCTATGCATTTCTTACTGGACTTCTTTGATCAAAGGAACAGTGTTTTCCTATTCAACCATAATCTATATCCTTGTAATTTGCTCTCACAGGGCAGAGGTTGTCCTCTTGGGCAGCTCAGGATGACTCTAATCGCTCTTTCTCCCCAAGACCATTCTTCAAAGTGTTAGAGAGAGAGACTGTGACCATATGCCTCTGAGTTCTCCCTTCCAAAGGCCACATTGGACAGGATTCCCAGGTCTGAGTCTATCCCTGACATTTTTTCCTGGACAAACTCTCTTTTAATATCCTCTTTACATCCTTCTCCAGAACTGGACACCAATGTGATAATGCAGGCAAGGCCAGGATATCAGATCTATAAGCTGGATTACCCACACCCAGCACCCTCTTCTTTCTTGGCTAACTATAGACCCCTGAGGCAATGGCTCTATCAGGGTTTGGGCCAGGACTGGCTGCCTTGGAGTACTGGGAAATGAGACCTGTGGGCGCTGCCAGTTTGGGGCTACAGGAGGCAAACTGCCACGACAAAACATTTTAAGCTATGGGCCCAAACTCAAATTCCTGCCCAAAACTTGGAAAGGGCTGAGTGGGAGGTTTCTCTCCAGGCCCAATGAATCAGTGTAAAAGAGTTGAGTTTAGGAAATAAGCAGTTTTCTTTATTTATTTGTTTTTGTTTTTTAAATCTCCTTATGTGATTCTGAAGCGCAGCAAGTTTGAAAATTATGTCTAGTCTAAATCCACCATATCGCTGCCCTTGCTCCCATTTTATGGATGGGAAACTAAGGGGAAGAGAAGGTACTTGGTCCCACACTCTTCTGTAGCAGAGCTGGGTGTCCTACCAAATCCGCAGAGGAGTCTCAGGCCTGAACTGCTCATCCCTGAGCCACCCCTCATCCCTCAGCTCATGAGGGCTGAGCATGGTGACCAAGCATGATCCATGGAGGGAGAGGCTGTGTTACCTGTCGCCCTGTATGAGAGCCTCCAGCCCCGGTTCTCCCCTGAGTTGTCGCTGCGGAATAGAATCTGGACGCTGTGGCTCTCGGTGTTGATGGGTTCTGGGGCTTTCTCTCCACAGAAGGGCCCCAAAAGTTTTGGGCCAGCTTTAATCTGTGATTGGCAAGATAGAGTAAAAAGGTCACATCTGAGTAGTGGTGGCAGCTGCTGGGACCACCTCTATGGTGCATCCTGGTTTTCTGGAGGCCTTCATGTGAACTCGTAGTATTCACTCATGTTTTAGTGGGCATTGCCATTCACCAAACAGTTCCATTTCCACTCTCTCATTTACAGATTACAACGGCCTTGGAAATGGATGAAGCTGGCTAATAACCCTCTGCTCAAAATGAACATATGGCTCAGAAAGGGACAGAGCTCTGTCCAGGTGCATGGGATAGAGAAGGCCTCTGCTCTTAAAGAACCTACAGTCTAGTCGAGGATGGCTGGGATGGGGTAGCAGATGGGACTAATAATAAAGATTAAGCAAAAAATAAATAAATAAATAAATATTAAGCAAAAAATTACATGCTGTGGCAAGAATTATAAAAAATAATCAAGGTGATATACACACATCATATAAATATATGTTATATATTTATAATTATGTAGTAAAAGCTATGTAACCTAACTCATTACTCATATAATAAATAAAACTTTATTTTTTATTTTTATTTATTTATATATTTTTAATTTTTGTTGTTTATTTAAATTCCATTTAGTTAACATATAGTATAATATTTGTTATATCTTAATAATTCATCACTTACATATAACACCCAGTGCTCGTCATAGCAAGTGCCCTCCTTAATACCCATCACCCATTTAGCACATTCCACTGCCCACCGCCCCTCCAGCAGCCCTCAGTTTGTTTTCTCTGGTTAAGAGTCTCTTATGGTTTGTCTCCCTATTTTTTTTCTCCCCTATGTTTGTCAGTTTTATTTCCTAAATTCCACATGAGTAAGATCATATGGTTAAAATGCTATTTTTAAAAAATTTAAAGTTCTTTGTCAAAGAAATGAAAAAATTTTTTAAGATCCATTTTTTCTATTTACCTACATAGTTAGCATTTTTTGGTGCTCATCCTTTTTTCCTACAGATCAGAGTTTCTATCCGGTGTCAACTCTTTAATAGTGCAATCAAAAAACTTTATTTTTTAATAGATAAAACTTTAAATAGGTGGTCAGGGAGGGCTTCTTTGAGGAGGTGACATTGGATTTGAAACATGTAGGATGAGTAGAAACTTGTTATTTAAGGAAGAGGGGAAAATATTTCCCAAGCGGAGAAAGTAGCATATGTAAAGGTCAAGGTCAAAGGTGGCAAAGGGCTCAGCAAGTATTAAGAACAGGAAGGAAGCCAGAGTGGCTGAAACAGGGGAATACCATAGCTTGAGGTAGGAAAGGCAGGCAAGTGCCATATTGTGTTGAGGAATTTATGTTGATTTCCAAGAGTAATCCTGATTTAATCTGGCTTTTATAAAGATTAGCCTTGATACCATGGTGAGCGGACTACATAGGGCAAGGATGGAAGCAAGAAAACCAGCTAGAAGCTTTGCATCGGACCAGGAGATAATGGGCATTGGCCTGGGATGGAGTCAGTGGGATGGAGAGAAGGAAGTAGGTACTATTAGCTGATCTAGATTTCCTGACTCCCAGACTCAGTTCCTTTCTGTGCCTCTAACTCTTTTTCTTCCATCTCCAAGGACCAGAACTCCTGAACCCTCATGTGGTGACTTCTACAATCCTGGATGATATCTCCGTCTTGTCGCCCTTATTGTGAATGGGGGGGAAGTGAAGCCTCATGAGATTAAGTGTCTGGAGAAGGCTCACAGCATAGCTCCTGGGATACTTTGTGTTATAAGCAGAATTTTAAGATGGTCCCTATGACCTTCACCTCTGGTGTTACTTCATGATGATATCATGTAACATGGCAAAAGGGATTTTACAGGTGGCTGAGGAGCTAGTGTTCAATCAGGGAAGGTCCCTAGGCTGGATCTGATTAAGCTGGTAGATGCTATTTTAACTAATTACCTTTTGGGAAGCAAGAGGCTTGGTCCCCTATCCCGGGAGAAGGCAAAGGGCCAAGAATATCAATTTTCCCAATTCAGCCAAGATTTCCCAGTATCCCCAAGGCTAACATCCATTGTAGGCTTACCTTGATGTAATCATAGGGGCAGGGCACCTCAGGATGATCCTCAATGTCGAAAATGTCCTCGAACTGCAGGCTGACCATGAAACCCTCCTCTAGCTCTATCGTGTAGAAGCATTCTGAGCTCTTAGGGTAAGGGTTGGGGAAGTCAGGGCTGGTGATCACGCCTGTCCTCTGGGTATAGACATTGTCACTGCACTCCACTGTGGAACACATACCAGAGCAAAGTGACACACCACAACCATGGCTAGGGCAACCCGTTTCTTATCTGTTACTGTACAATTTTCTCACTAGTCCTGAGCAGCAAGCAGGGAACACATCACTATCTCCATTTTATTGATGGGTAGAAGCCCTCATGGAAAATGGCCAAAGCCTTCCATTTCTCCATTTCTCCATCCCTGCTCCACCTGGAGAGGACATCAGGGTGGGCATAAGGATGAGACATGAAACAAAGAAGGAATAGGGCATTTTCTTGCTGTCTCTCTTTGCCTCTCTCCTCCCTCATCTTTCCTTTGGACTGAGGTTCTCTTGATCACAGAGGAACTTGGGAGGCCATAGGAGTGAAAAGAAAAAGAAACTGCTGGGTGAGGCCAAGCTTATGGCTCAGAGCGATGGGACTGGTAAACCGTGTTTTCCCATAACTTGGCCAGCCTGGGTACCTACAGTAACCAGGAGAGCAGAAGTTGCTGCTATCCAGGAAGAAAGATGGCCTAGAGCCTAGGGATTCTGAAATGTGGTCCTTTGAAAACCTGAACCCGGACTTCCTGGCTGCTAGGCATTTCAGCATCTTCATCCATGTGGTATCTGAGGCAGAGCTCTCTGGCTTCATTTTTAGTTATTCCTATTCCATAAGTACCCCTCCTGTGAGACTCCCCTAATCTTTTGGGAAACTCAGCACAAAATGGTGATATATATACAGCGTCATCTCTGGGCCCCACCTCGGCAAGTCCTGTTGTCTGTGTGGAGGAGGTAGCCAAAGCGGCAGGAGCAGTAGTAGCCGCCAATGTAGTTATGGCAGTAGTGGTCACAGGACAGCTCCTCATCCTCTCGTTCAGTGCACTCGTCCACATCTGCAGGGCAATCAATCCACGCGTGATGATGAAGACAACAGCCAACATTTACAGAGCGTGTAGTATGGGCCACTCCCTGTGTTAGCCTCACACAAAGCCCAGAAGTAGCCATTACTTCCATTTACAAATGAGGAGACTGGAAATCAGAGCAGCGAGGCAACTTCCCAAGATGACAGAAAGCCAGGTTCAAGGCCAGGCAAGCTGACCCCCAGTGGTGCTAGTGCCCTCTAACAGTTGTGACAATAGCAAGCAGGACTCTTACCATCCCCATTCCACAGATGATGAAACAGAGACTTGGGGCCTTTAAAGAACTTACTCCAACTCACAGAGATGGTATGTGGTGGAGTCAGCATTCACACCCAGGTAGGCTGGCTCCAGAACCCACTCTTTGCTTCTAGTCCATGCTACCCCTTTCTTTCTATGTCCCGCTTCCCTGGGCAGTGGCAATGTAAACATTAAAAAAAACTATGTTCGCAACCCAATTTAAAGATTTCATGGTACGTTTCCCCCCAGCAAATACAGGAATGGCCAAAAAGCACATGAAAAAGATGCATGACATCACTAGTCACCAGGGAAATATAAATTAAAACCATATGAGGTACCACTACATACCCCACCAGAATTCTAAATTTAAAAAAACTTAAAAATTGACATCAAACTGTCATTTGTTGGTGAAGGAATATAAAATGGTGCAAAAAAACTTTGTAAAAGGTCTAGCAATTTCTTATAAAACCAAATATACACCTGTCCTATGATCCAACGATTCTGTTCTTAGATATTTACCCAATAGAAGTGAAAATATATTTTCACAAAAAGTCTTCTACAAGAAAGTTCATAGAAACTTTATTAATGGGAGCCAAAAAAAATGGATACAGTGCAGGTGTCCATCAATGGAAGAATGGATAAACAGACTGTAGTATAGTCATTCAATGGAAAATTACTCTGCCAGGAAAGGAGCAAATTTCCAATGCATTGCAACATGACTGAACCTCAAAAACTTTACATTAAGTAAAAGAATCCTAACTTCCAAAATATATTCTGTGTATGTTCATCTACATGAAATTTAAGAAGACGCAAAACTAATCTCTAATCTATGGTGGAAAAAAATTGGAACAATTGTTGCCTCTAAGGGAGATAAGAGCAGAGTGTGATTGGGAAGGAGCATAAGGGAACTTTCTGGGTTTAACAGTAAAGTTCAATATCTTGTTAGGGGTTTGCGTCCATGCAAATATAAATTTTTCAAAACTCAACAAGTGTGCCTAAGGTTTGTACCTTTCATTGAATGTAAATTTTACATTAAAATAAAAAAAATTGAGGGTAGATATTGAACTTTAGCAAAATGATATGCATGCTGAAATATTTAGGAAAAAGTGTACTGTTGTCTGCAATGCATCTTGAAATGCATCAAAAAAGGATGGACTGATGGATAGATGGAGGATAGACAGATGGGTAGATCTGTGATAGAGCAAATGCAGTAGGGCAGTAAGAGAACATAAGGTACTTTTAGTCTTTAGAGAGAAAAGGAGATCTCGGGATGAGGCACCCTCTCCTCCAACATACCCACAGCCATGTAGTGGGCATCAAAGCCCGTGAATCGCTCCTCATTGGAGAAATCTGACCGGAAAGTGATGGACATGAAAGAGCCGGGGGAGAACACGACTTCCTGGCCGGGGGTCTGCTCTGTGTCTGTAGTCTCCCTGCCACAGAAGGTTGCCAGCACCTGCTCTTCAGTTTCTACCTTTGGGATCAAAGAGAGAGGGAACAAGATGAGTGGCTTCCCAAATTAGCTTCCCTGATGGTCTCCAGGAGAAAAGAGGGAGAGTCTGCTTATGAGTAGATCAGGGATAGAGATAGGGAATTCGGGATTCTGGGCCTTGAGGAAAGATACCATACAGGTTAAGTCTTTGGGGCTGTTCAGTCACCGTTTCATTCACTTGTTTAGGCCCATCAGGAGTAGCTTGGCATTTATCATTCCTATTACTGGCTTATTTGTTGAAAATAACTCAATATTAGAATTCAGAAAGAGTTAGATCACCCCACTGATAGATTCCACATGCAACAGAAACTGACCACATTCCCAAAGAAGAGAGATAAACTTCAGGTCATTCATTGAGCATTCAGTGTGTGCTGCCCGTGAGCAGAGCATGGGAGCTGTGCATGGGGAGGCAGTGTTCAGAGGGACGCAAACACAGACAGGGCTATTATGCAGTGTGACAAGTGCTTTAATGGGAACACAAGGGCTGGGACTGCACTCCGAAGGAGATGAAAGATCCCATCAGAATGGAAACTGCAGGAGAGCGAGACTGTGTTTTCTTTACAGATGTGTTTTCAGTGAGCAGAGCAGGATCTGGCGCATAGCAGTTACCCAACAAATGTTTGTTGTCAAGAACTAAAATGCAAGGCTTGTTCTGAGAACAATGAGAAGCCAGGGAGTCTGTGGGGATTATAGCAGGAGAGGTTGAAGAATAGGTTGAAATGACATTATACTGTCTTCGAATGCTATCATAACACTACGTGACTCTTAATTCTGTGAGCAAAGACACTGAAAACTTTTGAACAGGGAAATTGTGTATTTAGAACTATATTTAATAAATAGTTTTAATAATTCAGAAATGACTGGGTTCATCCCTGAAACAATTGTGTTTGTGTTAAGACTCAGAGGCAAAAATGACCTATTTGCTAAATGAATTCCCTACTTTGGAAAAGCTAGAGGCCCTGTGTAAATTCAGAGACCCAAGTAGAGATCCTAAACTGCCTGCCTAAAGCTGATTTTGTGTGAATTTGGTTTGGGAAACAGTGTGATAGCTGGCTGATCTATTTATTTGACTATGAACACTTGGCCTACCTACTGCTCTTACCATTTACACTAACTGGGTTCTTTTAAGGTTGTATTTGTGTTTGCAAGCTCTAGATTGACATTTTAGCCAAGATGCATGAGAAAATCTTTTAGCAAGAATGATTCTGCTGCCTTTCAAAGTCATTAAAGGAAAAGTTCTCAAAGCCTCTGCCTATCTCTAGTAGCTTCTAATGCATTCATTGTTTTGTTCATTAGCTTAGTATGTCAGAAGTATCTTGACATTTGACACTTCTGTTTTGAAACTAATGATTTATTTATTTAAGATAAGTGGGAGTTTTAAAGAAAAACAATTTGCCCTGGCAACAAAACACAAGGACAATTAATGACTAACTTTGGGAATTGAAGTGTAAACAGAAGATGAGATCATGGCTTTGCTGTTTATTCCTCTTCTCTGCAGATACTAGCCAAACTCACACCAGCCTTTTTAAAGTAGAATGTACCTATCTGCACACAGTCACTTCCTTGACCACCATGGCTGATTTGTTCTTTTGCTTACCTGAGTTTCCTAGATAGCTGAAGTTTTACCTGACTATAATTAATTTATCATCATCATCATCATCATATTTGGTGTAATGCTTTATAAGGTGCTTTATACAAATCCCTGCTTTCTTAGGTGAAACATGCTAACCCTCTTTGGTGATCCGGGGACCTTTTTAGGAATGTCAACCATCTTGGGGATATTGTGTTGTGTGATGTTACTTGCTCTGCATTGAACATCCCCAGACTATAATGCCTTTGCAATTCTTATGTCTCCTTTATGTAATGTTTTATTTTGTGTCTTTTTAGAATCAGTTAGCTGATATATGTTATAAAATAGAATCTCGTTGAGCTGTTCTTATTAGAACTTAATAAAAATAAGACTAAATAGTTTTAGTGTGAAGGCCTAGGAAAGGCATGAAATTGGGTACAGGTCTTGGTGACTTCTGCTTTGGAGTAATATAAGGTAGATGGACCTGGCAGTTAGAGGTCATGAGCTTATTCTTGACTACCATAAACAGTTATATGGCCACCTCCTCTCTAGCTCTCAGTTATCCACCTGATAGAACAGAGTTTTGAACTAGCTGAGGTATATGTTCTCTTCCAATTCCGACCTACTAGTATTCTAACAAGTCACCATACCCACACACTCGATAGGCCAACTAGAAGATGATGAGCAGGAGTTTCAACACAGTGATTGCTTTCTGTTGAAGAACTTGATGAACTCGAACTTCTTCGTGACCTATAACCATGTAATACCAGGTCAGTTATTTAATGAATAGTGACACCTTGAGCATTAACACCTCCAGACTCACAGTTCCCTTTCTGTACTTTGATATCCCCAAAGTCTTTGTAGCATGGACACGTTCCATGTAGCTACTCTTTGTGGCTTGGACACTTTCATGTGAAGGCAACCAGGGAGGGGTGCCTGGGTGGCTCAGTGGTTGAATGTCTGTCTACGGCTCAGGGTGTGATCCCAGGATCCTGGGATCGAGTCCTGCATCGGGCTCCCCCACAGGAAGCCTGCTTCTCCCTCTGTCTCTGCTTCTCTCTGTGTGTCTCTCATAAATTAATAAGTAAAAGCTTTTTTTTTTAAAAAAGAAACCAACCAGGGATAACTTAGATCAGGGGAGACCTAATGAAAGTCTGTGATAATAAACTCTCTTATAAATTCCTGGATAAAGGACATTTTCATGATGGCAGATAAACAGTCATCCCATGCAGAGCCACACTATTGCAGAGAACAGGTAAGCATGTTTTGCCTGAAGCCCATGGGAACATCTGAGACATCTACACCTTTAGGAGCAGGGAAGAGAAGGCCCTGGAATCCTGGGAATTCAGCCTACAGCTCAGAATAGAGTCTTGGAATATCAGAACTGAGGAAACTGAGGTCCAAAGAGGGCCAGTGACTTGCTCAGGAGTAGAGAGATAACCACAAGCATTTCCTGATACAGTTTTACTTTTGGAACTATTCTGACCCTGAAGAAAGGAACCCACCAACCCAGAGAATACATGACCAAAGACATAGGCACTTTGCCAAACAAATTTTCTGGCTCAAGGGCCTCTTCAAACTTTATCTTGGGTTCATGGACTGTCTCCCAGAGAGGATGTGGCTCAGTGACAGCTCCAGCCATAACCCAAACAGAGGGGTCACTGACCTTGGTTAATATTTGCAGCCCCTGCTATGAATTAAAAAATTCTACAAAAATCATTTACCTCTGAGTATAGGCAGAAGATTGAGTCCTGGCTTCTGTTTGGACTGTCCCATTTCTAGGGTCATCATATTAACATGATGGAGGGAAGTACCTTATCAAATGAAGACACAAAATTCATAATAGAGAACTATCTGGCCAGGGATCACAGACTCCTCATTTTTCTATTTTTTATTATGGCAACCATATCCTTTCTGGCTATTGTTATTTAGGGCAGCAACACATGGATGCATGTCCTCAATTTGTTTTCTTTCAACTCAATTCAAAAAATATTTATATACCAAATTCTGTCTGGACTACAATGTGGAGGATGCCAAAAATTACTTATTTGTTGCATGAGCTTAAAGAGCAAGTCCCCTGCCTCTGGGAATGTGAAATTTAATAGGAGAGTAAGATAAGTACTCAAATGGGTATGTGTCAGGGCATAGTTATTGCAGTGAAAGATAGGAATCTCCAGGGGTTAAAGGAGGAAAAAAAAATTACATCCAGCTGAGGGAAATCATAAAACATTTAGGAAGAAGAACATTCTTTGAGCTGAGGCCTGAAAGATGAGTAGGACTTAGGGAGATGGAAATAGTAGGTGGAGGGTAGGGGGTAGCAGGAAGAGCTTCCAGGCCGAAGGAATAGTGATGTCTCAGAGATATTCAGAGTCTCAACTGTCCCTTCCTTCCCACTACCACCTGCCATAGGAAGGGGGTTCTATTGAGGACAGGGAGCTGGGGAGAGAGATCTAAGGAGGAGAAGCCAGAGTCTGTTTTCTATGAATTTTCACCTTAGTAGAAACAACAAATTTGGCAAACAACAAACTTTGGCAAAACTAAGGCAGGGCTGAGACACTTTGGCCCAGTTTCTGTGGGAGGACCATGGTGGCTGCTCTCCATGTGTCTATAAAGTCATCTCATCAGAGATTAATACTGACAGCTCTCCACCAGTCCCTGGAGCAATGTATGGAGGAGGTAGCTCAGGAATGAGTGTTCTCATTTTATAGAGGAAAATCTTGAAGCCCAGCTAATTTAAATGAATTAGGCCAGGTTATTATCTATCAAGTGGTGGTTTCAGGCCCAGGATTGTAGCCTCCTAATTTCCTGGCCAATAGCCTCCTGCTCCTTTAAGGCTTGAGGCAAACAAACAGACTGTCATACAGATCTAAATACCTCAAGGCTTTGCTTGTCAGTGTTCCCAAGCTAAATCTTGGAGCTTCTCCGATCTTCTCTGGGCCTTTGAAGTGCTTTTCAGAATTAATTTAGTCAGATATTCAGGGAGTGTGCTGGATTGTCCTGCTGTTGATTTAGTTAATCTGGGAACTACATTCCCCAGAATCTCCCTTCTTGTGTACTTCAGGCCGGAAGAGAAACTTGTGTGAGTTTAGAACACAACAATCCTTACTCTCTGCAGGGCGTTTTGTGATCAGATACCAAGATGGACAGATGTAGATGTGCCCATTAGGTTCTAACCTGTCTCACTTTCCTCCACTCTACATCCAGTGCCTCTTTCCAACAACTGGCTCTAATGACCAACAGTGGCCTAAACATACCACCAGATGCTTGTAGATGGACCCACAGATGTGGGAGTTGCTCAATGCCAACAGCTTCTCACAGAACTCCTCATGGGCCCCCTTCACAGGCCCACTTTGGCTCCTTAGATGCTCTTGAATTCTCACATTCCACTGCCGATGTCAACATCTGCACCCAT